TACCTTTCCCTACAGACCATAGAGTGATCATGTCTGGCCTGTGTACCGTATATCACCAGTTTTTGTTGTTGTTGTTGTTTTTTAAGATCTATTTATTTGTTTGAAAATCAAAGTTAAACAGAGAGAGAAGGAGAGGCAGAGAGACAGAGACAGAGACAGAGTCAGAGACAAATCTTCCATCCGCTGGTTCACTCCCCAGTTGGCAGCAATAGACAGAGCTGTGCCAACCCAAAGCCAGGAGCCAGGAGCTTCTTCCCAGTCTCCCATGAGGGTGCAGGGGCGCAAGAGTTCAGGCTTTGGCCATCCTCTGCTGCTTTCCCAGGCCATAGCAGAGAGCTGGATCAGAAGTGGAGCAGCTGAGTCTCAAACCAGCACACACATGGGGTGCTGGCACTACAGGCGGTGGCTTTGCCCACTATGCCACAGAGCCGGCCTCCCATCACAAGTGCTTAATACAGCACACCTGACTTTAAAGTATTTGGTAGTGGTTTTTGGTTTTGGTTTTTTGTTTTCTGAGTGGTTATGCTGGGATTTTATTCCTTCAGGGACCTCGTTACCCTGGTGACAGCCTGGAGGATGTGGATTGTAGGAGAGATTTGCAGCCAAACACAGACAGATGTCTCTAGCCACTTTTGGTGGCCCAGGTTACAGACACTGAACACGGCAAAGAGCACGTGGGACAGGATGCTGAGCACCAGCTGAGTGGAGCAGTGGCCCATAGTGTCCTCTTCCCGGACCAGGAGCACCCACGCTGCACTCGTGCCGCACAGCCTGGCCGGAAGCGGCTCTGTGGCTGCCTAACCTAAAGGGGAAAGCCAGGGGAAAAGGGTGGAGGCTGTCAGTCAGCCATGTGCCCAGGTCCCAGCACAGTCTCCTACCCAACCCGGCCCTGAGAGCCAGGCGTCCCCGTCTCCCTGTCCCTGGAGCTTCCTGTCTCTCTGGGCAATGGTCACCCACCCACCACTTCCCTGTTTCCCCTCCCCCTCGGGATCTTGGTAATGGGTTATTAATTTTTTTGGTCAGTCAGTTTCTGCTTTCAATATGCACCTTTAACCTATTCATATTTATTGTGGTTGATACTATGTTTGAACTTATTTCTGACACATTTTGTTACCAATTTTCCTGCTTGTGTTTAGATCAAGTTTTCTTCCATTATTACCCCACTAAGGATTAGGGACTTAACCATCATCTTTTTAGACTTCTAATTACTGGCCTTAAGTTTTTAAGAGAGTTATTTAATTTTATAGTTTTTTTACCAACATCTTAGAGAGGAACTTATTTTTTTTCTCCCTTTGCTACCTTCCTTAGGAAGTGCCTGAGATTTTACTTGCGACTTGTGATTATTTATACCAAAACAACTCAAATTTTGCCAGTTGATTCTTTTGTTTTATTTTTCTTGATTCTCTTCTGTTTATTTTATTGCAGTTCCTGTTCCTGGGTATCTTTATTTATTTAGGCTATATTATGTTTTTGCTAACTTTTCTAACAATTCTTTTAGATAGGACTTGAAAGTAACATTTTTTCAGATTATTATGTTAGAAAATGTATTTATTTTGCCCTCCTATATGACTGATTTGGCTGGATATGAATTTTAGGTTCCAAATAATTTCCCCTAAGAAATTTAAAAACTTGTGCTTCATTGTTTCCAGTTAGCTGTCTGACATAAAATTATGTATTCTTTGCACATAACCTTTCTGCTTAAAGATTAGGATTTTGTTTTTAGCCTTGCTGTTAAAAATGTCACTATTGGAGCCAGCGCTGTGGCGTAGCAAGTAGAGCCGCTGCCTGTAGCACCGGCATCCCATGTGGGTGCCAGTTCGAGACCTGGCCACTCCACTTCCAATCTAGCTCTCTGCTATGGCCTGGGGAAGCAATGCAAGATGGTCCAAGTCCTTGGATCCCTGCACCCACGTGGGAAACCTAGAGGAAGCTCCTGGCTCCTGGCTTTGGATCGGCACAGCTCAGGCCGTTGCAGCCATCTGGGGAGTGAACCAATGGGTGGAAGATCTCTCTCTATTTCTCCTCTCTCTCTGCCTCTCCTTCTCTCTGTGTGTAACTGTGACTTTCAAGTAAAATAAATAAAAATCTTTATAGAGTCCGGCACCGTGGCTCATTTGGTTAATCCTCCGCCTGCAGCGCCAGCATCCTATATGGGCAGTGGGTTCTAGTCCTGGTTGCTCCTCTTCCAGTCCAGCTCTCTGCTGTGGCCCGGGAAGGCAGTGGAGGATGCCCCAAGTGCTTGGGCCCTGCACCCGCATGGGAGACTAGGAAGAAGCTCCTGGCTTCTGGCTTTGGATCAACGCAGTGCTGGCTGTAGCGGCCATTTTGGGGGTGAACCAACGGAAGAAGACCCTTCTCTCTGTCTCACTCTTACTGTCTAACTCTATCTGTTAAATAAATAAATAACTAAAAATATTTGTTGAAAAAGTCACCATTATGTGCTTAGTTTTTGTTCTATTTTCCATTTATCCTGGATCTTAAGCTTTCAGAAGTTTATTTCAGTTTCTTCTCATGTCTGTCATTTCTGTATGAGTCGCCTTCTTCCATTGTTTCTATTTCTGGCATTCCTGTGAACTGGGCTGGAGAGTTGTTGCATTTATCTTCAGTGTCTTTTTGTGCCTCATTCTCAGAAGATAGCTTTCTTAATCTCCTAACTGGCTGATGATCATTTAGCTCTGTTTATTCTGCTGTTCGACACCATCTATGCTTTCTTTATTTCAGTGTTTAACTTTCTACATCTAAGATCCATATTTAAGTCTTTGTCTAAATACAGATAGTCTCCAACTTACAAGAGTTTGACTTATAATTTTTTCTACTTTATGATGGTGTGAGATAATAGGCTTTTTTTTTAAGATTTTTATTTATTTGAGAGGTAGAGTTACAGACAGAAGGAGAGACAGAGAGAGAGGTCTTCCTTCCGTTGGTTCACTCCCCAGGTAGCCACAATGGCCGGAGCTGCGCTGATCTGAAGCCAGGAGCCAGGAGATTCTTCCAGGTCTCCCATGTGGGTGCAGGGGCCCAAGCACCTGGGCCATCTTCTACTACTTTCCCAGGCCAGAGCAGAGAGCTAGATTGGCAGAAGGGCAGTCGGGACTCGAACTGGTGCCCATATGGGATGCCGGCGCCACAGATAGAGAATGAACCTACTGCACACGACACTAGCCCTGATAATTGGGATTTGAATTTTTTCCCAGGCTAGCTCTATGTGATATGATCCTCTGTAGGGATACTGGACAGTGACATCAAGGTTACGAGGGTAAACAACTAGTTCTCTGTATTGTGCTGTGTTGCTAAGCTATGATATTTGGTAAGTTAGGTGTATTAAAAACATTTTTCAACGTAGCAATGCCACTTTACAGGTTTATTGGCGCCTCTGTACAGTATACTCTCAAATCTCTGAAGGTAAACTTTTTTTCAGTTTTCTGTGCTTGCTGCCATTGCTACAAGATTAGTTCTGGTATTGATTTTAATGCATCTCCTCAACAGTCAGGGTTGTTTTAGCTCCATATGCTCTTGAGAGTTCCTGCTAGCTTTACTGTGAATACTCCATTTGCTTCGAGCAGCTGTGGAGACTGGCAGGACATGCTGCATGGTTGAATATGCCAGAAGCAACTGGTCTGGGCTTGGTCACTCTTTGCCGTTGGGAGTCTTTGCATGCCCCTCCACTGCACAAAAGCAGACTTCTTTGTTGATTGAGTGACAAGGGGGCTAAAGCCAAGATTGCTATCTGTTCCTCTGCAGAGACCAGGCCGTCTCCCTAACTTGGAGTAATTTTAGAATTTAGAAACTTATTACCACCCTCTTGGTAGGGCACATTGCCTTGGTTTTCCTTTAGTCCGTTCATACCTGCCTTCTCTTTTAGGAATTTCTTGAAATTCTTGATCCCTTAAAGGCATGCTACTTTTGCTGATGCTGTGTATTACAGTATTTTGAAGTAGAAAAAGCTGTCAGATGCATTACTCAGAGCACTGTCTTAATCCAAGATTTCAGTCAAGAATAATCCCTGTTTAAATACATCCTCAAAACAAAGAAGCAAAAATAAACTTCAGCAACAATGAAAATTATGAGAGCAACTATGTGAATGTATCTATGTCTCAGGATTTTAAGTTAAATTTGACCCAAAAATACAGCACTTTAAGAATAACTTCAGTATTTCTAAGATAATGAAAAGGAGTTTAGCAAAAAGGAACAACTATTAAGGACAGTTTTATCAGATGCCTAGGATGTGCTGCCTGCAGGCCGGCATCCCATATGGGTACCTGTTCGAGTCCCAGTTGCTCCACTTCTGATCCAGCTCCCTGCTGATGCACCTGAGAAAGCATCAGCCGATGACCCAAATTCCTGGGCCCCTGTACCCACATGGGATACCTGGAAATAGCTCCTGACTCCTGGCTCAGATCAGCCCAGCTCCTGCCATTGCGGCCATTTCAGGAGTGAACCAGTAGATGGAAGATCTCTCTCTCTGTAACTCTGCTTTTCAAATAAAATAAATCTTTAAAAAATACATACATACATACATACATACAAGTATTTCCTCCTACTTTATCCCTGTCCTCTTTGGATAAAAAGAGGGGTGAACATCATCATCTGTGACTTAAAAGAGTAATGTCCACTTTTTTTTATTAGACATACATCTAATAAAAGGCAGTTGGCATATGAAGTCAGTGGGTTGTTCTTACCTCCTATGAAAGCTAACCACCATATAGTAATTATCTGGGCAAAGCAAAATAAATGTGTAAAGGTAAAAAAAAAAAGTAATATCTAAAGGTAAAAAAAATCCGCAACAAAATATACGGTGGGAAAAATAAACATCTCTTAAACTCTGAAATGGGCAAGACTGTCTCCTAATATTAATATTGTAAAGCTTTTGGGTATAATTATCATAATTCCATGAATCTATATGTTCTCATTATTTGTGAACTCATAGACCCACAGTGCTTTGTTAAATGTGATTTTTTAGCACTTAGTGAAACTCTAATTTCATTTTTTTTCTCTATCAGGTTACTGCTGATTCAGCTATTCTAAAAATTCTTCAGTCTAACATTGAGCATGTGCTACTCTATGAAAATCTTGCTCTCCAGGAGAAAGCGCTGGCTTGTATTCCAGTCCAAGAATTAAAAAGAAAATCACAAGAAAAGTTATCTCAAGCTAGAAAATTGGATAAAGGTAGGGCTTTGCATAATGATTTATGGCTAAATATACATCATTGCTAAAGAAACATATATACTGACCTAATGTCTTTAGCTGTGTACATTGTAGACATCTAATCCATTTCCATTGGCATTTTGCAAAAATCCAATAATAGTTTAATTCTGTTACATTGTATTTCGTGGATATATGTTAAATTTTTTTTCAATTTTTCAGTTTTTTTAATTGTAAAATATGCAGTTCCTTCAAAAGGTAGTGGAAATGGAATGCAAAGCTAAGTTTATTTTGGTGCACAATTTTTCTTAAATTATATATTTTTTGAAAGGCAAAATGACAGAGGGAGAGACAGAGAAAGAGATCTTCTGTCTGCTGGTTAATTTCCCAAATTTTCAGAACAACTGGGGATGGGCCAGGCTAAAGCCTGGAATCTGAAACTCTTGTCTGGATCTGCCACATGGGTGGCAGGGCCCCAGACACCCAGGACATCCTCTGCTGCTTTTCTAAGTGCATTAGCAGAAGATGGATCAAAAAGCAGAGCAGCAAGACTCAGCTGGCACTGTGAGATGGAGTGCCAGTGAACAAGTGGCAGCTTATTGCGTTACAACACTGCCCCACAAAAATTTTTAAATCCAAGGGTGTGAAGGATCTTCAGAAAGTTCATGAAAAATGAGTATTATGACAAAATTGCATAAACCTCAAAATTCTTTGGAAACAAAAGTCTTCTATTTTAATCCATTTTCCGCATACTTTGAAATATCCTCATATACTTAACATAAGATTTATCATCTTTGTAATTTTTAAGTGTACATTTCAGTATTTATAAATGTATTCACAATGTTGTGCGTCTATCTAGATCCATAATTTGTTTTGTTTTGTTTTATAAAACTGAGAACTCTGTACCCATTAAACAACAACTCCCCATCCTCCCTTCAGCCTCTGGCAACCACCATACTATTATTTGTCTCTTCAGTTTTGACTACTCTACGTATTTCATGTAAGCAGACCCAAACAGTATTTGTGTATGTGTGTGGTTGGCTTATAAGGTTCATTCGTGCTGTAACATACTACAAAATATCCTTTCTTTTTAAGGCTGAATAGTATTTCATTTTATATGTATACCACATTGTGGTTGTCCATTTGTCAGTGGATGCTTAGGTTGCCTCCATATTGTAGCTGTTGTGAATAATGGCTCTGTGAATGTTGGTATAAAAAATCTGAGATTCTTATTTCAGTTATTTTGAGTATGTTGCTGGATTTTATGGCAATTCTCTTTTTTTTTTTCTGTTTGTGAAGAACCTCCATAGTGTTTTTCATAGCAACTGTCCTATTTTACATTCCCACCAACAGTGCACAAGGAGTTCAATTCTTCATATCCTGACCAACATTGTTTTTTAAGATTGATTGATCTGAAAGTCAAAGTTACAGAGAGAGGAAGATCTTCCATCCACTGGTTCACTCCCCAGATGATGTAATGACTAGGGCACGGCTGGGCCCAAGCCAGGAGCTTCATCTGGGTGTCCCACATGGGTAGAGGTGGCCAGTGCTTGGGCCATCTTCCACTGCTGTTCTCAGGCCATCAGCATGTAGTTGGGTCAGAAGTAGAGCAGCCAAGACTTAACTGCCATCCAAATGGGATAATGGCATTGCAGGCAGTGGCTTTACCCAGCCCACTCACCAACATCTTTGTGGTAATTAGTGTGTTCGTGGTAAAAGTGATTAGTCTCTTGCTGCAGAAGCTTTCTTTTTTTATAGATTGATTTATTTATTTGAAAGGCAGAGATACAGAGAGAGCAGGAGAGAGAGAGAGAAAGAATATCTTCCTTCCTCTGGTTCACCCTCCAAATGGCCACAACAGCTCAAGCTGGGCAGGTCCAAAGCCAGGTGCCAGGAGCTTCTTCTGGGTCTCCCAGGTGGGTGCAGGGCCTCTGCTACCTTCCCAGGCACATCAGCTGGGACTTGAACCAGCACCCATACTGGATGTCAACACTGCAGGCGGAAGCTTAACCTGCAAAGCCATGGCACCAGTCCTAAAACCTTGAAATCCATGAGTTTTTTCATAATATTTTTCATGAACTTTTTTTTAAGAAAGTTTTTATTTAATGAATACAAATTTCATAGATACAGCTTTAGTGATATAGAAGTTCTTCCTCCCAAACCTACCCTCCCACCCCTACTCCCGTCCCACCTCCTATCCCCTCTCTCATCCCATTCTTGATTAAGATTCGTTTTTACTTTTTTTTTTTTTTTTTTTTTTGACAGGCAGAGTTAGAGAGAGAGAGAGACAGAGAGAAAAGTCTTCCTTTTTCCGTTGGTTCACCCCCCAAGTGGCCACTATGGCCAGTGTGTTGTGGCCAGCGCGCTGCGCTGATCCAAAGGCAGGAGCCAGGTGCTTCTCCTGGTCTCCCATGGGGTGCAGGGCCCAAGCACTTGGGCCAACCTCCACTGCACTCCCGGGCCACAGCAGAGAGCTGGTCTGGAAGAGGGGCAACCGGGACAGAATCCGGTGCCCCGACCGGGACTAGAACCCGGTGTGCCAGCGCCACAAGGCGGAGGATTAGCCTACTGAGCCGAGGCACCGGCCAAGATTAGTTTTTAATTAACTTTATATACAGAAAACCAACTCTAATAAGTAAAGATTTCAATGCACTCTCACACACATACACACATGAAGTATCAAGTACTGTTTGAAAACAAGTTTTACAGTTAATTCTCATAGCACAACTCATTAAGAACAGAGGTCTTACATGGGGAGTAAGTGAACAGTGACTCCTATTGTTGATTTAACAATTGACACTCTTCTTTATGATGTCAGTGATCACCTGAGGCTCTTGCCATGAGCTGCCAAGGCTATGGAAGCCTTTTGAGTCCATAAACTTTGTCAGTATTTAGACAGGGCAATGAACTTTTTGATTCCCCCTTTTATGCATGGATTGCAAACTTTTCTGTACCAAAATATACTTACATTTAATTCCATTTTACACAAACTTTTTGAAGTATGCTTGTATTTTCTGTTTTGTTATTTTTTTATATAATAGCCATGTTAATGGGGTTGAGGTTGTGTTTTGCAAGTTTGATTGACATGCATTTTCCTAGTGGTTAGTGAATGTTGAAAGTCTTTTCATGTGCATATTAGTCATTGGTATCCTTTTTTTGGAGAAATGGCTAGTCAAATCTTTTGAACTTTTTTTTTAAATACTTTTTTTAACCTGAATTTGAATAAATTGTACCATGAATCTGATAGAGACCATATTCACAATGATCCTACAGTGAGACTACTGGCTCACTTTTTCTTAATATGGAGAAATTATTTCCTAAGAGTGGATTCTGAAGTCACCTTCAAGAACAATATTTGTTCATGTACTTTCATTTGAAAGTAGCTTTCAGTAGAACTGTGCCAGGTCTTCCCTCTTGTCCTTGATGGCACTCTTGTCATTTATTTTACTTATGTATATATTATAAACACCTAACACATTGCTCTTTTATTTAAAGTTATTTTTCATACAAGTAAGAAATTTTTTTTTAAAAAAAATTATTTATTTGAAAGAGTTACACAGTGAAAGGAGGCAGAGAGCAAGATCTTCCACCCACTGGTTCTCTCCCCAATTGGCCGCACGAAGCCAGGAGCTTCTTTCCAGTCTCCCACATGGGTGCAGGATCCCAAGGACTTGGGCCATCCTCTGCTGCTTTCCCAGGCCAGAGCAGAGAGCTGGATTAGAAGTGGAGCAGCCAGGTCTTTAATCGGCGCCCATATGGGATGCCAGCACTGCAGGCAGCGGCTTCACCTGCTACACCACAGTGCTGGCCCCACAAGCAAGCATTTTAATAGCCAGATTTATTTTCCCTTCATTTATTTCTTCTCTGGTGCTCTTGTTTTCTTGTGCAGATCTCGGTTTCTGACCTATATCAGCTGCCTTTTCCCCAGATAATTTCTTACAATATTTCTTTCATGGCAGGTCTTATGGAGGGGAAATTGTTTACCTAATGAGGTATTTATTTCTCCCTCACTTTGGAAGGATAGTATGTATCAGTAAGATACAGAATTCTTGGTTAGTGGGATTTTCATTTCCATTCTGTAAATAGGATAGATAGGTATCTCCCTGAGAGGCTAATACTTTTTTTTTCCTTTAGAGATAAATACACACACACACACACACAAAATGGGTAGCTGCTTCCTATAGTAGGAAGTACTATGTAGCCATCAGTACAATGGCTGTACTGATCTGCATTCCCACCAACTGTGTATAAAGATTCCCTTTTCTCCATTTCTTCTCCAGCACTTGTTTTTTCTTTTTGTTTTTAAAGTTTTGTTTGGTAATCATTCTGCCTAGGGTGAGATGCTATCTCATTGCGATTTTGCTTAGTACTTCATGAACACTAATGATGTTGAACATAATGTTCTTTTTTAAAAAAAATTTAAGTATTTATTTGAAAGGCAGAGTTAGAGAGCCAGAGACAGAGATCCTCCATCTACTGGTTCACTCTCCAGACTGCCAGTGTCTGAGACCTGCCTGAAGCCAGGAGCCAAGAACTCCATCCAGGTCTTTCAGATGGGTGCAGGGGCCCAGGGATTTGGGTCATCCTTCACTGCTTTCCCAGGTGTATAAGCAGGGAGCTGGATCAGAAGTGGTGTAACCAAGACTTGAAGCAGCACTCAGGCTGCCAGCATCGCTGCAGTCAGCAGTTTAACTCATTGTGCCACAACACCAGCCCTGAGCATATTTTCATAAATATAGTGGCCATTTGTATTTATTCTTTTGAGAAGTATCTATTCATATCATTTACCCATTTTTAAATTATTTTTCTTTTGTTGTTGTTACTGAGCTTTTTTAATTCCTTGTGTAGTAGGGCTGTTAATCCTTTATCAGATAAATAGTTTGCACAGATTTTCTCCTTTTCTGTTGTTATAATCTTCATTCTGTTGATTGTTTTCTCTGCTAGGCAGAAACTTCTTAATCTGTCCTATTTTGTCTTGTTTTGGGGATTAGTTGCCTGTGCTTTTGCAGTCTTACCCAAAAAGT